AAACCCCGTTGGACGTCAAACCCGTTCCCGGTAGCGCATTAACCCGTTGGGAGTTGAACACGCTGGACCCCAAAACCCGTTGGACGTCAAACCCGTCCAAGGAGCCCCTTTTACCCATTGGACCCGAACCCGTTGGATGAACCCATCAACCCGTTGGAAGTCGAACACGCTGGACCCAACCCGTTGGACGTCAAACCCGTCCCAGGAGCGCATTAACCCGTTGGACGTCGAACCCGTCCCAGGAGCGCATTAACCCGTTGGACGTCGAACACGCTGGACCCAAACCCGTTGGATGTCGAACCCGTCCAAGGAGCGCATTAACCCATTGGACCCGAACCCGTTGGATGAACCCATCAACCCGTTGGATGAACCCATCAACCCGTTGGACCCAACCCGTTGGACGTCAAACCCGTTGGACGTCAAACCCGTTGGATGAGCGCATCAACCCGTTGGAAGTCGAACACGCTGGACCCAAACCCGTTGGATGTCGAACCCGTCCAAGGAGCGCATTAACCCATTGGACCCGAACCCGTTGGATGAACCCATCAACCCGTTGGATGAACCCATCAACCCGTTGGACCCAACCCGTTGGACGTCAAACCCGTTGGACGTCAAACCCGTCCCAGGAGCGCATTAACCCGTTGGAAGTCGAACACGCTGGACCCAAACCCGTTGGATGTCGAACCCGTTGGATGAGGAAGTCGAACGCGCTGGACCCAACCCGTTGGACGTCAAACCCGTCCCAGGAGCGCATTAACCCGTTGGGAGTTGAACACGCTGGACCCAAACCCGTTGGACGTCGAACCCGTTGGATGAGGAAGTCTATCCAACAGGTGGGGGTGGAATGGACGTCCATTCCATTCAGGGTTAGAAAACCGACCAATCAGAGCAGGGCAGATTGGACGTACATTCCATTTGGTTTCAGACGTTGAACGTCTAATCAACCACGGAGTCAATTGACTTCAAACTTTGCATGTAGGCCGTAGTGGATAAGGAAATACAACATATCCAAATCAAAAGCGATAATTCCGCCGAAA